GTGTAGGGTGCACTACTTACAGGATTTTATCCATCCTATATGGCTAGTAAAAACAGTCTATAATTTCATTTTGCTTTTTTTATTTATAGGGAGTTGAGTCTCACATAATCTAGTGATGTTCAACTTGTGGGTTCAGGCTCCTTTGGGGGGTTGAATGACCCTTTCACAGGGTTGCATATCAGATATCCTGTGTATTAGATATTTACATTATAGTTTATAAAAATAGCAAAATTGAAGTAACAATAAAATAATTTTATGGTTGAAGGTCACCACAACAAAAGGAACTGTATTAAGGGTCGAAGCATCCCAAATGCTAGCATGATAGCTGTGTGCCACTATGCTAGCTTATATGGTGTCAGGGTTGGCTTTGTGCATGCTAGGCAAGTGCCATATATATTAACTGTTTCATCCTCAGCTTTCCCTTTTCATGATGTAGAAGAGTTTGAGGTTGGTTGGTTGGTTGGTTGGTTGGTTGGTTGGTTTGGTTTGGTTTGGTTTGATATGTTTGTTTGGGAGAGGGGTGGTTTGGTTTAATTTGGTTGTTCTTTTTTTGTTTTCCAAGATAGGCTTTTTCTGTGTAGACCTGGCTGTCCTGAAACTTGCTCTATAGATCAAGCTGGCCTTGAACTCACAAGAATCCTCCTGACTGCCCTCTGAGTACTGGGATTAAAGGCATTCCCTTTCAAGTCAAAGTTAAGCTTTTTTTCCTCATGGGTTTGTCATCTCTGAATGGCTATCATCATGAAGTTGTAGTTTATATCATTGCCTTTCTGTTATGTGTTAGATTTTAATTATTAATTTGTAGATGCATTGACTCAACTTTATTCAGCCTTAGCAATGTTGATTTTAGGCAAGGTACTTCTTAGTCATTGGCATCATCCTGTGCCTTGCAGAATATTTAATTAACAGCATCCTGTAATGTGCTCACTAGACACTGATAGTGTGTGGGCACATACACACTGATGCTAACCAAGAATGCCTGCACACATCACATCCTGTCCCTTGGTGGGTAAATTTCCCAGCATAACAAATACTGATCAAAATGATACATAGCAGATATTTTTTCAGTCTCTTGCTGCTTGTCTTCGTTTCTGGTGCCTTTTGCCATACAGCTTTTTAATTTTATGATACCTAGTTTCCTGTTAACATACTTTATAGAGAAGAAGGAACCTGCACAGCTTTAAATGAGTAATAGGGAAATTTTTACTGTTTGCTTGTTTGAGAATTAAGAGAGTAGGAAACAGGTTTAATTCTTACCCTTCTCCCACTGACTCAAGGAGTAGGAGAGAAATATCTGTGCAAGAGTTGTGTTTAGTTTTATGTACTCTTTGGCAAAGCCTTTTTTTTTTTTTTTTTTTTAGTGTGCTAGACATGGAACCTAGTGCCTCCTGCGTACTAGGCAAGCACCCTGCCACTTAGCTCTCAAAAGTGTTTTTTTGTTTGGTTTTTTGTTTTCTTTTGAGATACAGTTAAATATATAGCCCAGGCTGGGCTTGAACTTTCTATACAGCCAAGAGTGTCCTTTAAATTCCTGATCCTCCTGTCCCCACTGCTTGAGTACTGGAATTACAGAAGTGTGCCCACACCCAACCTTTGCAGAGTTGTTTTTAAAGATAGTCAGTCAAATACTTATGCCTTGTGGGCTTTGAATTTTTACAAATTCAAGCTGCAGTCTTGAGGAAGGAGGAGTGGATTGCTCACTGAGCTCTCCAGTCAGATGAGCACAAGTGAAGTAGTGACTAGGAATTTAAAAGCAGGATTAAAGGGCCTCCCAGGTTAGGCCACTGCACCCCAATGTCTGTTGAGCAAACCAGGTATTGGCTATGTTTTCAAAAGTTTGATCTTGGTGCCCTCAGATTCACCTGTACAGTTGTTCTCAAGCTGTACTGGGCTGTTTACCCTGAAAGTAGATTTTCCAGAACCTGCAACTGTGGACCTGACATCCCTCCCATATCTTTGCGCACGTGCAGACACACAGACACACACACACACACACACACACACACACACACACACACACATTAACAAGTCCTGATCTCTTTCTGGTTCCAATAGCTCTATCTTTGGAGATAAAAAGAGCATTTGGAGATAATTGACCAGCACATGTCTTAAGATGGGTTGCAGGGGTAAATACATCATAGGCTTCTCTGTATCCAGCTGTAATCCACAGTGGTGACAGGAAAAAGCATTTAGAAGAGGAAAGCTTTTGAGACACACAAAACTGTTTTTCTCTTGGGATCTTGAGCTATTGTATTGGGATTACATTTGGTTTCTGTCTGTTTTGATTTGTTTTCTGGGTTCTTTAAAGCTATATTTATGTATAGGTATACTCATCCACTAGGGATAGAACCCAGGGTCTTGTGCATGTTCTGTTAATGAGCTACATCTCCCTACCTGTCTTCAAAGATCCTCTTACTGAGCCTGACCAGGTGGCATACAACTGTAATCATAGCACTTTAGAGGTAGGGGCAGGAGGATCAGAAGTTTAAATCCAGTCTCAGTTACATGGTGAGTTGTAGGCCATCTTAGGCTACATTAGACACTTATTAGACAAAGTCCTCTTACCCAAGTGTGAAACCTCATCCCTGTAATCCTAGATCTTCGGAAGCTGAGGCAGGGGGATCATCACGTTTGAGGCCACCCTGAACTACATAGTTCATTACAGGCCAGCCTGACTTAAAAGTGAAACTGCCTTTAAAAACCAAAAAACTGTTGAACTTAGATTTGTTTTGTGTTAATAGAATTATTTTGTAGAGCAGTTTTAGTTTTACAAAAGATTATATTGTAAAGAAGCTAGTGAGGAACTGGTTCAGTGGGTGAAGGTGCTTGCTGCTAAGTCTGATCTGAGTTCAAAGGAAAGGGAGAACTGACTCCTCCCTCCAGGTCTTCCTCTGGCCTCCATGCTGCTGCACACATACGCATGTGCGCTCACACAAAGTAAATGTAACCTTAAAATGAAAAGAAGTGGATGGCTAGAGAGATGGCTCAGGAATTAAGTGCACCTACTGCTCTTCTAGAAGACACAGGTTTGGTTCCTATCATCCATGTGGTAGTTTACAGTCATCCATAATTACAGTTTCAGGTAATCTGACCCCCTCTTCTGACTTCCATAGACACCAGGTATTCATGAAGTGCCCTTTATATATAAGCAGGCAAAACATAACACATAAAAATAAATTTTCAAAAAATAACAATTGTATGCCTTTTATATTCTTCCCCAACAACCCTTTCCCTATTACAAACATCTTGCAGTTACATTTGTTAAAATTAATGAAACAACATTGGCATATTATGTAATAACTGAGGCCTGCAATTCACATTAATATGTATGGTGTTTTGCCTGTGTGTGTATTTGCACTATATACATGTCTACTCCCACAGAGATTAAAAGAAGTCAGGTTAGGTTACAGATTACTGTAAACTACTTTGTGAAGGCTGGGAACCAAATTTGGGTTATGTTTAAGAACAGGAAGTTACACACTATTTCTACAGACTCTGTTTTTGTTTGTTTGAGTGGTGTATGTTTTGTTTGTTTAGTTGGGGTCTCATCTATGTCATGATGGTTTTCACCTTGATATGTAGCCAAGAATAGCCTTGAAATTCTGCCTTCTTGAGTGTTGGGATTATAGCCATGGACTACTACAACTAGTACTATCCCTGTAGTTTTGCCTTTTATTGATAAGTCATACAATTAGAGTCATACAGTATGGCATTGCAAACTGTTTTCTTTGACTTAATAATATGCATTTAAAGATTTTGCTTACTGGGCTGGGAGGAATGTAGCTTAGTGGCAGAGTGATTACCTAGTGTGCTCAAGGCCCTAGGTTTGATCCCAGAGCTTACTCCTCCCCCACCCCCACCCCACTGCCCCCTCCATACACACACACACACACACACACACACACACACACAGACTGGAAACTTTGGGGGTTTAGCTCAGTGATAGAGCAACACCAAGTAAAAGGAAAATTAAGGCTGGGGACATAGCTCAGTGTTAGAACAATTATCTAGCTAGTTTCTCCTTGACTTCTTTGTGGCTTAATAACTCATTTCTTTTTAAGTTATTATTGATGAGGCAGCTGTTTGTAAAATAGTTGATCTCTTTGTATGAATATAGGTAGGTGGTTATAGTATGTGTATGTTCGTATGAGTGTGTGCATATTTATGTGGAAGTACAAGTTTATGTGGAAGCCAGAGATCACTATTGGCTCCTTCTATCACAATGTATTAAAATGCCATGACGAGAAACAACTTACAGAAGAAAGTTTACTTGAGCTTAAAGTCCATAATGGTGAGGAATATGTAGCAGCAGCCAGCCAGAGTAGGAAAGTGAAAAATCATATCTCTATTCACATTCAGGAAGCTCAGAGAGCAAACTGGATGTAGCACAAGACTATAAACTCTCAAAGCCCACCCCCCCGTGGCTTCTCTTCTTAAAAGTTTCACAACCTACCCAGAGAGTGCCATCATCTAGGAACCAAGTATTCAAATGCTTGAGCCTGTGAAAAATATTGCTTGTTCTCATTCTCTAACACCTGAGTGCTAACTGAATAGAGCTGCTCTGTAGAGAACATTGCTATCAAGACACAGGACAAGATCAGTGTGGGATACACTGACTGTGGTGAGGTGTATGGTGGTATCTACCATATGTACTCCACCTTATTTTTTTGAGACAAGGTCTCCCACTGAACCTGAAGCTTATTGATGCAGCTAGACTGGCTGGCCAAAGAGTTCCATGGGTCCCTATATCATGTTCCCAACTCCCCGTGCTAGAATTATAGGTATATGCCAACTCATCTAACTTTTATATGGGTGATGTGGGTATGAACTCAAATCTCCATGTTTGTGCTAGCAAGCTCTTTATAAACTGAATCATCTCCCTGGTAGTTGATCTTCTAGTGCAGAAAAGAAAAATCCCTTAAATGCAAAATGTAGTCATTTATCTCTGCCTTCACATATCCAGATGAACATCTAGAACTTACCTGATCTTTTCTTTGCAGATTTTTAAATAATACAATGTCTAATGGTTATGAAGACCACATGGCGGAAGACTGCAGGGATGACATTGGGAGAACGAATTTAATTGTCAACTACCTCCCTCAGAACATGACCCAGGAGGAACTACGAAGTCTGTTCAGCAGCATTGGCGAGGTTGAATCTGCAAAGCTTATTCGAGATAAAGTAGCAGGTAAAGAGCCTGAGAGGTTTCTTGAAGGGGTCATAGTTGGCTGTGCTGTTAATCACTGGCTTCCCTGTTGGTGACTCTTAAGTACAGAATAGCTACAGGCTTGAAACCATAACTATAAATGAAGTTTTGTTTTTTAGCCTCATACTGCTTTTCTGCAGCGCCAGTATAAAATTGGACAGAGACGAGAGGGTTGTTTAATCAGTTAAGAGCACTTGCTACTCTTGCAGAGGAGCAGAGTTTGGTCCTCACACCCTCATCTGACAGCTTACCACATATGTAACTCCAGTTTGGGAAGCTGATGCTCTCTGCTGACCTCATAGGCATACACACATGTGCACATAACACCACCACCTCTCCACACAGAAATCCATAATTTAAAATATAATACATATTGAAAAAATTTGAAGATAAGGTTTTCCCCAAAAGAGCTTGGGCTTTTTGTAAGTTAAAATGCATACCAGGTATTGTGGTACGTGCCTTTAATCCCAGCTCTCAGGAGACAAAGGCAAGTGGATCTCTGTGAGTTCCAGAACAACCAGGGCTAGATAGAGAGACCCTCTCTCAACAACAACAAAAAGCACATGTATAAAATGACAGATGAGGAGAAAACTGGGGGGAATAGCAGAAATGGAGTGCTCTGAAAAGTGTCTGGAGCCAAATAATTGTACAAATTGATCAAGTTCCCACATGTAGAAGGGACCTTGCTAGGCCAAGCACTGACAAGTCTGTTCCTGAGGGTGTAGAAGACCTTCCTACACAATTGTAGCCTTCACCAGCTGGAACTCTGCAGTCAGGAGCAAGGTGCCTGAAAGCTCTCTGCTTCAGCTTTCTCATGGTGTGACTCTTAGGCTTCTCGGCTCCCATCCACTCAGTAGCCAGTGCCACTCATAGTCATGCCTATAGCTACCTCATAGGTATTTGTTTATAAAAGGTCAGGGTCCGAGAGTGCAGCTGCAGGAGCTCAGTGCTGCAAAGCTCTGCTTTGTTTCTTTGTTGGGTATTGTCCTCAAGAGTCACTACCCTCTTCTTCCTTCTCCTTCCTGCCCTTCCTGCCCTTCCTGACTCCCCTTCTCTACTTTGGCTGATTGGAGAAGCTAGCAGTACTTTGAAGCATTCCAGCTATTATCTAGTTTGTAGGTATCCAGATTCATCTTGGAAACTTAATTCTAAAAGTTTTTCTTTAGTTTGTTTGTTTGTTTTTTAAATGGAAAACTTCAGGTATGTATGAACAGAAAGTGTGCATTCAGTCTCAATCTGGTATATTCGTTGCCTTGCTTCATCAACCTTCAACATTTTTCCAGTACCGTCAATACATTGATCCCTGTATAACCTGTACAGTCTGTCTGATGGCTGGCCAGAGAAATCACTCATCAGATGAGACCCTTAAACTAAAAGGCCTTTTCCCCTTTTAATCCCAAGTCTTGGATTAATGCCTTCAAAAAAGGAACTTTAGATTATACACAGATTGAATAATAGTAGATTATTCAGGCTATTGTCCTACATAGGAATCCTGCTCACATGGTTTTCGAATGCTTTTCTCTACCAGTGTCTTGGTGGAAGGGGTTCTCAGCAACATCTTTAGCAGTCCTGGGCTTTACAGTCTAGCTCTTGGTTCTCATGCCCTGACTTCTTTCTGTGGGTTTTAGAGGAATATAAGCTTTTGTTAGTAGGAACTCCATGATTAGGCAAGATTAATCCTGAAAGAACTAGTTTTGGAGAAGTGAAGGCATTGGAAAAAGCTTTCTTAGGGTTTCATTGATATGAAGAGACACCATGACCATGGCAACTCTTAATAAAGGAAAACATATAATTGGGGCTGACTTACAGATTCAGAGGTTTAGTCCATTATCATCATGGCAGTGTCTAGGCAGACATGGTGTTGGAGGAGTGAGCGTTGCATCCTTATCCAAAGGCAGCAGGAAAAGACTGAGTTACTGGCTATAGCATGAGCTTATATAACCTAAAAGCCCACCTCCACAGTGACACACTTCCTCCAACAAAGCCACACCTCCTAATAGTGCCACTCCCTTCCTAAGGGCTTATGAGGGCCAATTTCATTCAGACTACCACAGAAGCAGAAGTGGCATTAGAAAGTGATTTCAATACTCAGATACAGGGCTTCTCTCTGATCTGTAGGCAGTGTTGGGAGTTATGGAGAAGGTACCTACTAAGCTCAATAATGTCTTGTTAGCAGCTTTTCATTCCAATTCAGTGAGTGGTATATCTGAAACACTCATCCCACTCTTACTTTACTTTCCTGCTGTCAAATTTCACTGCTAGTCTGTCATTCAATGGCACCACTCTGCCTAATCCTGTGTCTCCTTTTCTCTAGCTGGATCTCAGCCTGCCCACCCCAGCAAGACAGTCTTTATATCTATCTGGCTAGGTATGCTGCAGCCCCAGCCCCGCTTGTTGCCACAGTGGGTAGCCCCATCCTTCATAACCTTTCTGTGTTTTCTTTCCTCCAGTCGTCAGCTAGTTTTCACTCAGATCTGATGACCGCCTACTATTTCACAGTAGAGCTAACAACTGTCTCCTCTCTGCCCTGATCCCTTTCCTCCCTGGCTACTCATGACCCATGAACTATCCAACTACACACTTTTCCTTGTGTCTCTTGAGGATCATTGGACCAGGGCTTCAATTACCTTAGGTTTCCTGATGTCCTCTAGTACTTTGAAATTTGGGGCTGGATACTGCTATCTGGAGCCTATACACTGGGGGAGATTGAGCAGCATTTCTAGCCTCTACCCACTCACTTGAAACTGGTAGCACCTTCTAAGATGTGAACATTAAAGTATGTCTCCAGACATTATCTTGAGTCTTCTAGGAAGCAGAAAAGCTCTGGGGTGAGAACTACCACTGTATGTATGTTGTCCTCCCATTTACAGGCTGTCAGTGTCAAATTTCCTCTCTGCACACTTCCTTCTAGAAGCATCCTCTTCCTATGGCTGGCTGGCTGTCCTCCAGGCCACATTCTGTCTTTCACAGCTGCTCCTTTCCCCAGCCTTGAGCTTCAGATTATTCCATGGCCCTTTTCCAGAGCTATTAATCAGGCTGAGTTTAGTTTGCTCATTCTCCTCACCATATAGCTCTCCTGAGATCTGCACCATACTGATCTTACTCTGTGTCTTTGTCTTGGCTGATAATACCACTGTCTATAGTAGCTCTATTCAGAAGTACCAGGTCTCGGAATTATTCCCTTCAGCGCTTCTGTAGATTTACCCTGTCCTGCCTCTCCCACAAGAGCCATCCTAGCCTAGGACGTCATTCCCTTTACCTACTCTATTGCTGTGGCCTCTTAACTGGCTACCCTTTCCTCCTTCCAGACTTCCCTTCAGGTTCTGGACTCTCTTGACTTGAGAACGTCTTCTGTGGCTCTATCTAATCACCTAAGATGCTGGCTTGTGAGTTTTCATAACAAGCCATCCTGCACTGAGGTTGACACTATCAAATCTAACATATTAATTTTCTAAATTGATACTATGGGTCACTGGGAAGGGGACAGGGTGACTAGGGTAAAGAGAATGTTCAGTGTGTTGGTTGGGAAGCTTCCAGTGTTTCTGGGCAACCAGGGAAAGCTCCTTGTTGGAGTCATTGTATTTGCTGTCGGCATTTCCGTCTGTAAACATAAGGTATAGGGTATCATTTCAGCGTCTACCTGATATAAACTTCCTGTGCAAGCTGTAGCTGTCTTATATGTCCCTTGAGGAATTGGAGTCAGCCTTCAACCCTCATGATTCCATATTTTCCCTTCTCATCTCATAGCCATGGAACTCTGGTGAGGGTTGAATCCGCACAACACCTACCCTCAGCCTGGACTACTACAGCTCTCAGAACTACTGAACAATTTTCCTTTTACAAGAATACCTTTTCATACGTTACTAGCTTTACTACTTTCTCCTCGGCATGATACATCTTTGCTCCTCATTTTAAGAGCAAAACCAAAAAAAACCCTGACCAGGTGTGGTGGCAAATAACTTTGATTTCAGCACTTAGGAGGCAGAAGCAGGCATAGCTCTGAGTTTGAGGCCAGCCAAAAGCTACATAGCAAGACCCTGTCGCAAAAAACAGCAGCAACAGCAAAATGTAAGCAGAAACAATAAACTGTAGCCTGAAATAAAGCTTAAATGACCTATAATTTACCATTGGATACATTTCCTTTTATAATCCATTTGTTGCATATCTCTATAAGTAATAATGTTACTACTATGAACTATATAGCGATCCCTTCTTCCTATCTGAGTTTTCTACCCATCATTACTGAGGTTGTATAGTACTCTGTATTCCATATTATAAGCTGCACAGACAACTACCTTGTATCACTCTGCTTACTGGCTATTTCCATAGAACCTTCCTGAAAGTAGTAAATTAGCAACTAATATGTTCCTTCTGAGAACCCCCATGGTTCCAGTTGCGAACTGGCCCTGCTTTCCACTGTCAATGCCCTGGGCCCTGCAGAAGTCCTCCTCTGCCAATTGATAAAGCAAGTGGTGTTACATCGTGTGCATTTCTAAGGAAGCCTATCATCTCCATCTGCTTGCTGGCCACCTTTCTGTTTTCTCTAAAACACCCTTCTTGTCCTTTGGCTCTTACATTTCTTGTAGTCCCTCTGTCACCTATACCCTGTGAATCTCAATAAAGTCTTCTCTGGAGTCCCTGTGCACTTTTTAAAAAAAGAGTGGAGTTGGGTGGTTAGGGAGAATCTGAAAGGAGTTAGTGTAGGGGAAAAGTGTGAACAGAATTTAAAGAACAAAAGACCCCAAACTTTGTTCCCTGTGTTCTCTATACCTATAATACCCAAAGATCAATGTGTCTCTTTACTCTCAGCAGGAAATTTTCCTTTTTTTGGGGGGGGGGTGTTTGAGATAGGGTCTTTCTGTGTAGTCTTGGCTGTCCTAGAACTTGCTCTATAGACCACTTGTCCTCAAACTAAAGATCCACCAGCCTCTGCCTCCCCAGTGCTGGGATTAAAGGTGTATGCTGTCACTGACTAGCTAGAAACTCTTTGCAGTAGACAGTGATCAATGCAAAGACCCAGGACTGGTCAACATGCAGAGAATAAGAGATAGGAGTAGTCAGCACCTTATTTCTTGAGACAGGATCTGTCACTGTACCTGAAGTTTACTGATTGGATAGGCAGATTGTCTAGCCAATGAGCTTCAGGAATCCACCGGTCTCCCCTCCTCATTCCATGCCCGAACACTGAGATCACGGGGATTTTTTTATGTGGAGTTCCCAACTCAGGTACTCATGCCTGCATAGTAGGAACCTTTTAAGCAGCCATCTTCAGCCTATTATTTCCTATTTCTAATAACGACCTCCTAGAGACTCAGTAGTGTAACTCTAGACTAAGTGAGGAGCCACAGCAGCAAGGCTGTGGGATGAGGAACTGTCCAGTAGTCACACTGTAGAATGCTACTAAGAGGATTAAGTTAGGGGCATGAGGATCTCCATAAAAGATCCCAACTGCAGTATATCTGCGTTTCACGTCCTACCCAGCTCTCTGGAGTGGCCAGACTATTGTACCTCTAAGCTCCTGTTAAGTGCTTCCCTACCATATTATGCTCAAGCAACAGAGCCTGTTTATCCTGACCTCAGGAATAGAACACCCGTTTTTCTCTTGCAGGAGCCACTGCTTTTATGCTTTTCTACTCATGAGGCTTTTTTTTTCTGAGTCTGTGGCATAGGGGTAGTAAAACTGCAGGGAAGCTTTCGGGTGGACAGTCAGCACTTAGTAGGCAACTGCTTCAAGATGGGGGAAAGTAATGGTCCCCAAATGACAGTGTTTACAATAATGGGACATCTAGACTCTGAAATCTTTCTTCAGCCTGAGGCTGAGGATACTGGAAGTCTCATTCCTGTTGCTTCTGTTGACTAGTACCACAGGGTTCTGTCTTCCTATAGAGAAAGGAGATCAGCCTGAAAGGGGCCTGAGGGCTGGAGAGCGGCAATAGTTGGGGACAAACGAAGCTTCTACATAGGCTGCTGGGAATTTGGGTATTGAGACCTGCCTAGAGTCAGGGTCAGTTAGCCAGGAATTTGCCCTGCATCAATCTCTGGGCTCCACATACAAATTTTTTTAAAGAAATATGGATATCTAGAAAGACTTTGAGAGGGAGGATAGCCTGTGAAAAATTGCAAATAATGCCTGTAGTTTCTGTGCTCCAAAGAGAAAGAACATAATTTAGGACTGGTTTTGCAGTATTATCTGGCGTGGTCTGCAAAAGGAAGGAACACTGTGATAGTGGAGGAGGGTCACCTCACAGACCCTCCTAGCCAGGTAACCTAAGCCAGTGTGCGTAGTAATAAAACCTGTGGTGACAGCTCTTCTTCACCTCTGTGGCCTTCCTCCCCTGAACTTACCATCACAGTAAACAAAAGAAAAATACAAAACAAACTAGGGTGAGGAACAGTATATGAGATACAGAGCAGGCCCCCAAGCTGTGAAGTTGTCAAAAGCAAGGACAGGGCTGGAGAGAAGACTTGATGGTTAAGAACATTAGCTGTTCTTCCAGAAGATCCAAATGCCAGCGCACAGTCATTTATAACTCCACTTCCAGTGACTTTGACAGTGTCTTCTGGCCTCCATGGACATTATACATACATAGTTTATAGATGTACATACAGGCTAAATACCTATAAACATAAAAATAGAGTTGGAGGTGGTTTTTGTTTTGTCTTGTTTTTGTTAAAAGCAAGAATGGTTTGAGACACTACCCTGGGGGAGTTTTGGGGTTGGAGGCTAGGAGGAATGACACTAAAAGTTGTGTGGGGTCCTAGGACAGAAAGAGGCATCCGTGAGAAAACTAAAGACATAGAAATAAAGTATGACTATTTAGTTAGCATTGAACAAGTACTGGTCACTGTATACAATATGCCATGGTAATGGAGGATATGTCTAATAGAGGAGGGTAGGGACAAGCTGAAACTCTTCATTTGTTTAGTGGTTTTGTTTTTGTTGTTGTTGTTGTTTTTTGGTTGGTTTTCTTTGTTTTGTTTTTTGTAAATCTAAAATTGGCATTGAAAAATGCAGTGTCTGCTGGGCATGGTGGCCCATGCTTTTACTCCCAGCATTTCAGAGGCAGAGACAGGTGGATCTCTGTGAACTCGAGACCAGTTTAGTCTACAAGTAGAGTTCCAGGACAGCCAAGGCTACACAGAGAAACTCTGTCTCAAAACACAAAAGCAGCATTTGAGGAGGGCGAGTTAACAAGATGGCTTGCAGGTAAAAGCACTTATCCCCAAGCATGACAGCCTGAGTTCTGTGCTGGGACCAGCATGGTGGAAGGAGAAAACTCATTTTTGAAATGTGTCTATTTTCCAAATACTTGCTGTGGCATGGGTGCACACAAATACACATACACACAAATGTAGTAAAACAATTTTTAAAATAAAATATTGGAAAAGTGCCAATACAGCTTAAACAAAATAGGTTCTCTGGTTTGTTCAGGTCTTGTTATTAGCAGAGGAGGTGGCTTCCTGGGTTCTGATTGCAGCAGACTCTCAACACAAAAGTCTGACTCCAGTGGGTTTGTCTTAGGCTCTCTCAGGTACCCAGAACAAAATGAAATGTCTGCATGAGCTGGGAGGATGTGAGTCAAATTTGTCATGGCTAGCCATCCTCTAAGGTTCCTTCATGACGAGCACTCCGTAGCTCTTCCTGGGCCTCTCCCTACATACTGTGTCCATACCCAGATAGTGGGTGTTCCTGCCTGTCCGGAGTAGTTCACAAAGAGTATGCTGGGATCTTTTGTTGCTACCTTAATTTTCATGCCTCTCACTTCTCATTCCAAGTTTATGCTGGTGACATTATGGACTCTGCTGCCTGGGGGAGCTAGGCCAGGGCTGCAAACTTGTGGCCAGGGCCACTTAGCAGGCTTAGGATACTCTAGTTCAGCTTTTCCCCACAATTTCACTGAGTCCAGTTGCTCTATACTCAGGAGAGAAAGGGAACCAGTACTAGATGGTACCTGAGCTCTGTGGGAATTCAGGTTTCAGAAATTAACAGATTATGGCCAATGGCCATTGCCTCCTCTTCTGTCAGGCCTCATAGTACAGCCCCAGTACATTTGGGACTGCTAGGCAACATTTTACAAGATGCAGTCAGTAACACGTCATTACTTTTTTGTTCTCTTTGAAAAACAAGGTCCCTATTTTGTGTATATGCACATGCATAATATCTCATATGTCAGAGACTTAACTCAGTTCTTCTGCCATGTAGCCTCAGGGATTGAACCCAGGTCATCAAGCTTGGCAGCAAGCACTTAACTGTTTGAGCCTTCTCACTGGCCCAGGTTTTTTTAGGTGGGGGCGGGGTGTTGAGACAGGGTTTCTCTGTATAGCCCAGGCTGTCCTGGAACTCACTCTGTAGACCAGGCTGGCCTCGAACTCAAAAATCCACCTGCCTCTGCCTCCCAAGTGCTGGGATTAAAGGCATGCGCCACAACTGCCCGGCACACTGGCCCAGTTTTTAAAGAACTTTTCATTCCAGGTTACCTTTGTTAGTTGCAAAGATGTACAAGTTTGCACAGAAAATATTTGCCACCATCTCAAGAGTGGTTCCCTAGTGTACTTCCCTTGGCATTTTGCTGTGTTAGCCTATCTTTTCTTTTTCTGACCTAGCCCATGTACCTCCCCTCCTCCTGCTCATTGGAAGCTAGTTTACCAATGTCATGTTCTCTCTTATAGGACACAGCTTGGGCTACGGCTTTGTGAACTATGTGACTGCAAAAGATGCAGAGAGAGCAATCAGCACACTGAACGGCTTGAGACTCCAGTCCAAAACCATTAAGGTAAAGAGATGTTGATCTGGAGGAGAAGCCTTAACTAGACCAGAATGGGGTATAATAGTATTCTAGACTCAGTACCTCCAGGTGCTAGGTGTGTTATGAATGGGGTGCCAAACAAGAACAGCTGTACTGGAAGAGACCCAGAATCAGGCATATTCTGTCCCTACCTTGCTGCCCCTGCACTCCGGTAATTTTTTGAAGGCTTTACTTGCATGCATATCCTAACCAGCCTCAGATCACAGCTCTTAATAGCTAACTTATCTGCTGTATTCTCATTGGTTCTGGTGTTGACTCTGGTTGCAGAAGTCAGTGAAGGGTTCTGCATCTGTATGCCTAACCATCTACCTTTTCTCTGTGACAGACTGGCAACTACAGTGAGGAAATGGACTAATCAGGCTCGGGTGCAGATCCACAGGCCTGCCAGAGCCACGTGATTCACACAACCCACACTTAACAAAGAAAATCATAGGTTAGAGCCTTCCACGTAGCATCTCAGGTTCCTTATCACAGCCCCACAGAGTGTGGGGCCCAGTTTAGGAGGATGGGAAGCCGACTTATTTTTCTTCTCCAGTAAATGAAATGGCTTTTCAGGGGTAGGGTGGAAGAAGGGGCAAAAGCTAAAGCTTGAAAGTGGATGCTATGGCACCTGGCTTTTACCACCAGTTAGCACTTTCTCAGCACAAGATAAGTGCCTGGAACTTAAGTTACAGCACAGAGCCCTCGGGAAATGGTACGTTTACTTTAGTTGTCTATTGTGTGTTTTGTTTGTTTTTGTTGTTTTTCTATTTGTGTTGTTTTCTTTGTTGTTTTTTTGTTTGTTTGTTTTGTTTTGAGACAGGATTTCACTATATAACCCATACTGACCTTGAACTTGTTGTCCCCTGCCCCCATCTCTGGAGCACTGGAATTCAATACATGTGTTCACATCACAGGTGACTGGGGTTGAGTCATTCATTAGGTGTTTACTTGATGCCAGTATTCCCCCAACTCTGTCCTAAGTGCTGAATGAAACAGTGATCATCAAAGTTTTACCCTCATGGAATTAATTGAATACAGTATAGTCTGTGAGACTGTAGTAAATGTAGTACAGGGATAGAGGGAGCTGTGCATTAAGTAACAGGCCTGTGCCAACCACCTGCTCAAGGAAGTCACAAGTTTGCTGGAGCTGCCCTAATATATAGTACCACAGACCAGATGTCCTAAATAGCAGAGACCATTCACTGCTCTGAAGTCTTAGATCAAGGGGTCAGCCAAGTGGGTTCCTTCCAGGGGCCCTGGAAAGGATCCCCAAAAAGCATCTCTCTTCTAAAGTTGCTGGCAATCCATAGCATTTCTTGGGTTATAGAAGTACCCCTTCCTCACCACCTCCGTTTTTCTGTGACATTGTGCCTGTGTGTATGTGCCTGGGTCCAGATTCTCCCTTTTTATAAGGGTCCAATTACATAGGACTAGGAGCCCAGCCTTGTATGTATGACTTTGTGTTAACTAAGTCTCTGTGTAAACCAGATCACAGTCTGTGAGTCTGCGGGTTAGAACTTAACCATGGGAGTCTGATAGATACATAGTTCAACCACTCACAGATTTCTCAAGATCAGGACAGGAAAGCCCTGCATTGACATTAAAGAAAAAGAGTTGCTGAGAACATAGAAGGTCTTTGCAGTGCTGTGGAACAGCACAGAAGGATACCCAGAGGGTCTGTGCACACATAGCAGTACCCGATGCCTTTGTATGGCTCTACTGGACTCAGGTTTGACTTTGAATTTGGCAGTGCTTAAAGAGAAAAGGCAGACAAGATTCTTGTGGTCCTATAGGACATTAGCATTGAAGTTTTCCTTAGCATTTGGCTCTGAAGAGTACAGCCAATGCTGGTCCTAAGCTCTTCGATTTGTGACTACAATTTGCCCCCTTGCTAACCCATTCTTATCCCGAGAAAGTTACAAAGAGCTGGCAGCCCTGGTAGTGGGAAAGACTGTCTCCTTGAGCTTTCCTGCCCAGAATTTGATGTTTTCGACCAAAGGTTTTTGTAAAGTTGAAAACAGTTGCAGGTACTTATCCTTGGGCAGGGTGTTAATAAGATGGACATGGACACTAAGCGTCTATGAAGAGGGAAGCTGGAGAGACTGTCAACTAAAGGCAGAACAGTCATATGCATATGTTGACCCCTGACTTAGATCAAAGAGTGACCATATATCCACAGAGCTCTTGCTCTACAGGCTAGACCTTGGTACCAAAGGCCTGAAAACAAATGGGGAAACATCCACTGTACACAGCTCCATTTCCTCAAAGATCTTGTCCTGCAGCTCCCCAGTAGTCGTGGTGTGCTTTAGCATACTTCCAATCTGGTGTCACCCAAGAGGTTGCTAGCTCCTTGACATGTTGAAGCAGTTTTGTGTCCTTGAGACATAGATCTGACTTCTTCCCTCTCTATTTCTACAGTACTTGGTACACACACACACACACACACACACCTCTGTACCTAGCACCCTGACTCAGCTTTGTGTCCCATCCTACCAGGACATCTCTCTACAGGCAGAAAGGCCTCCTGCTAACTGTACTGTCTCTTTAGGGGAAGCCTTAGCCTTTCTCTTCCTTTGTGATCTTTGAGGTCTCTACCACCTGTATTGCCTCTACCAGGAAAGCACCCAGAGTCTTTCCTTGCTGTAACCTTTGGGACCTCCCTTCCTTTCTCTTAGCACAGGCATTAACACTGAGCATTTGAATGCTGGTTACAGGGCCCCCTCAATGCAGCATTCCTATGTAGGCATTTTTTAGTGTGCTTATTTGTTGGCAAGGGTTATTACAGCCTTTCCAAGAGGGCTCAGCTCTTGTATATCACACCATAAATTCCTTGCAGGTGATGACCCTTGGTCTTAATGTTCATCAGGAAACATGAACTTGAATCCCAACCACTGTGGTCCTTTAGTTTCTTTATCTTTGTGTAATAGGAATAATTTCCAGCTTGTTAAAAATGCTGAGGACCAACTCAGGAAATGCTGCAAGGTGTCTGAGCTCTCTGCTGGCCTGTAGTGAGCTGCCAGAAAATATCATTGCAAGAGATTGTCCTATCTGCAATTACTTGCACACATTGACTTTTCATAGCAAGACATTTTGGTCCCTTCCTATGGTGCTTTGATCACATGTAGGCCCTAATTCTGAGTCATTTTTTGTTTCTTTGTTTTTGTTTTTGTTTTTAAGGTGTCATATGCTCGCCCAAGCTCAGAGGTCATCAAAGATGCCAACTTGTACATCAGTGGGCTCCCAAGGACCATGACACAGAAGGATGTGGAAGACATGTTTTCTCGGTTTGGGCGAATCATCAACTCCAGGGTCCTTGTGGATCAGACCACAGGTACACAAAGGAGCTAAGATAGATTCTCTGAGCCGAAGACTAGGTATTCTAGGGAAGATAGGGGAATATTAGTAGTTAACCTCCAAAAGGGGCAGGTCGGACATGAGAGACCTTGATTTTTATTTAATAGGACTAGGAAAGTGAAATGTCATTAAAAGAATCCTAGGAGACAGTGGCACACCCCTTTAATCCTAGCACTCGAGGTAAAAGCAGGTGGATCTGAGTTCATGCTCTGCCTGGTTTGTGTATAAAGTGCCAGGACAGACATAGTGAGACCCTCTCACAAACAAACAAACAAACAAGCAGCAGCCACCTAGGAGTAGGCTAGGAAAAACATCAACACTCTGATACCCTCTCTAGGCACCCAGATAGCTTTGGCTGGCTTGGGAATGGTAAGAAAGGTTTCTGTTTACCTATGAAGGTCTTACTATAAGTACATGAAGTGTCAGTGTATCTCCTCTTTTTTTTTTTTTTTTTTTTTTTTTTTTGGTTTCGTTTGGTTTGGTTTTTCGAGACAGGGTTTCTCTTATAGCCTGGGCTATCCTGAAATTCACTCTGTAGACCAGGCTGGCCTCGAACTCAGAAATCCACCTGCCTCTGCCTCCCAAGTGCTGGGATTAAAGGTATGCGCCACCACCACCCGGCATATATCTCCTCTTAAAGAGTCCCAAGAACTTACTTTGTGGTGCTCTGAAGCAACACCATTGGCTATTTCAGATGGGCGTTCTTTAGTCTTCATGATTGGGATGCTCCTTTCCAGAGAAAGCAGTCAATTCCTGTCTCTCATATCCTGGCTACTTGACAGGTCCCTCCAGAACATCTCAGTATAGACTTGAACTGCAAGTTGTATGTGGAACTACTTGACTCAGATGCTGAGGACTCAAACACATACCCATAGCTATGTCCCAAGACAGCTATCTGCTACTTGAAACCAAAACATTCCCAGTCAGATGACAAGTACAGCTCCTCTTGGGGACATGATTATCCATTACCTCCACAACAGGAGTGAGAGATGGTTGGCACCAGAAAGGAAGAGTGGTGGTTTTCTTTTTTTCTCTCTCTTTTTCCTCTATAGACCTTTTGTCCTACCCTTTGGCTGTGGGTCACTTAGGCATACATAGAATTACCTCACTGTGGGACACCTTCCCTTTGGAGAAACTTGTGGAACGCTTTATGGCTACACAGGGATGCTGCTTCACCTTGTGACAAGTGGGGCTGGAGTGGGACTGCATTGAACCTTGTCCCCTGAGCTATGTGCTGTGGGGCAGGCATGCATCCCAGCTATCGTGCCTTTACCTGCCTGGCTGAGGCAGCTTATCTCAACAGACTGCAGGATCACAGTGAGAGCCTGAAGAAAGGAAGATGCCACCACACTCTTAAGTTCAGGCTCACTGCAAGCTTCCCGGGTACCTGCTCCTGGCATGTCACAAGGGCTCTGGGTGTGGCCTGTAGCCTGATATAAACACCTACTACAAACAGCCTGAGCCTGCTCCCTCAATCCTACATGGTTCCTATGTCTGTCATGTCCTAGCATTGCAGGGTATGGAGAACTGAAGCAGAACCCCGTTCCCAACAGCATACCACTTTTCCTAGAGTCTCCCTCTGCTTCTTTGGCACAGTTGGGCCCACCATGCATAAAGTGTCCCTTCTACAGGCAGCTCCCTCATCTATTTGCTAGGGACTTTGTAATATCAGCCCCTTTCCCTAATTAGCTGTGAACTCAGGATGATTTCACTCTTCTCCCTTGGCCTTCCCTGCTGTTCTCAGCCACTTTAGTAAAGAGCATCGCACGCTAAGCAAGAAGGATATGGCAAGACTGGCTCTCTTTTTCCACCAACGAAGCCATCTAGAGAGATAGCTACTTGCTCCCACAGAACTTCTGCTGGAGACAGGGGCCACTCTTGATGGGCATTATGAGGCCTGATGTTCCTAGGGAGGAAAGGGTGTAAGAAGTGGACTTGAATTAAATTCTTTAGATGACAGGCACTTGAAGATCAAAAAACTTAAGGGCGGGACCATGGCCCTGTGGTAGAGTACATGCATACCATGAGTAAGGTCCCGGGTCCCAACCCCAGTACTAGAAGGAAAACACAAAGTACTTAACGGAGTATCATCTGGGGCCAGCATGGTACGATAACTCAGTAGGTAACAGTACTTGCCCCCAAGTCTAATAGACAAATTCAAAATTCATGGGCCTCATATGATAGAAGAAAAGAACCAACTCCCTCACATTATCTTCTGAAGTCTACACCTTCATTGTGGCAGGCACATACACATGGTAAATACGTACATTTATTTTTATTCATTATTGTCTCAGTTACTTTTCTGTTGCTGTAATAAAAACATTGAGAAACGTAAACTGTAAAAGAAAGTGCTTAATTTGCCTTATGGTGTCAAAGGATTAGAGTTTATAATGGCAGAGGGAATGGCTGTCCGGGAGCTCACATTGTGATCCACAAGCACTAGGCATAGAGAGATCCTTCTTCCTAATAAGGCCATACCTCCTAATCCTTCCCAAGTAGTCACACCACCTAGGGACTAAGTGTTTAAATATATATACTTACGGGGGCCATTCTCATTCAAACCACTACAATTATTTTTAAATATATTTTTATTTTATATGTATGAGTGTTTTGCCTGCATGTATAGGTATGCATACCATGTACATACAATGCCTAAATATTGAGGGCTACATGGTGGAACCCTGCCTTTTAAAAAAGGAAAACTGGAGTATCTTCACATATGGGGCTGGAGAGATGACCAAGTTGTTAAAGAGTGCTTGCTACTCACCCAAAGGACCCACTTCAGTTCCCAGCACCCACATGGCAGCTCTTAGCTGTCTGCAACTCCTGTTCCAAGGGATCAGATGCCTTCTGACCGCCACAGACCCTAGGCACACCCCTGTGTACATACATATAGATAGACAAACGCACTCACACACATCTTTTAAAATGTTTTTAATGATCTTTATATGAGTAGAACTTAATTTTTGTATTCTTTATTTTTGTTTCTTTGCTTGGTTCTTAATTGTAAATTTGATTAGTTCACACATCTGGAATTTGTGCCAATTCTTGGTCTCTGTTGTTAATCCTGAAAACACTAGCAAAAATAAAGCCCAATTCAAGGAACTTTGTGGAAATGGAATCACAGTAATGGGCATTGGGGATGGAAGACACCAAGGAAGCAATGTCTTCCAGATACAGCAGGACTTAGGCACATATGAGCTCAGTAGGAGCAGCACCCACAGGACCAGCATAGGATCAAGCCAGATAATGTCTTGGCATTGAGAGAGGGAAGCAAACCTTATCTCCTGCCCCTAACCAAGAAGCCATCTCCACAACATCTCCTAACCAATTGCTCACAAAGAAAAAAACTACTTTCGCTAATGGAGTCTCATTGGGTATGCAAACCACAGGTAAGGCCTCCATACCTCACAGTAGATAGCCAACTCAATGCTCTTGTTCTTTTCTGGTTTGTTTGGTTTCTTTATTTCCCTCTTTGTTTTCTAAAATGAGAGAGAAAGAAGGCATGGAGTTACGGACTGGGAGGAGAACATGGAGAGGAAAACATAAGCAAAATATATTGTGTGTGGGGAAATCTGTTTTCAATTAAAAATTAAATAAAGTCCAAGTCACAGGGCCATTTTCCGAAGTATGAATCCATCGGACATTTACATGGATTTGTTTTACCTCCTACATGAGATACCATCCCCTTTTTGTTTTCAGATCATTTTTATTTCAAAGCAGTTACATGAAACCAAACACACACACACACACACATTTGGACACAGGCTTTTTCTCAACTTGGTCACAAGTCTAAGAAGTAGAATTACAATCACTCTAAAGTAGCCTTATGTAAGAACTAACCAACCACAATTTGGAATCATATTAGCCTAAAGTTAGGTCAGTGTTCAACTTTCCAGGATCAACCAAGCTTGTCAGTCTTGTTGTAAGAGTAAATACAGACAGCATCTGCCAATGGTGGGTCTTCAGGTGTTCCTTCAGGCTTAAGATGTATGAGTTAATTAAGTGCCAGAATCTTCCTAGCACGTGGCATAATGCTAGGTCTTGAATCACTAATTCAGTGGATTCTATACATTTAAGTAGGGGTAAGTTTTGTTGGGTTTTATAATACTGGCATTGAATACAGAAGTGTGCTGTGTGCACACATGAAGCCCACAGTGTTAGAATCATATGACATTTGAGGATTGTCTAAGAAGTAATTAGGGAAAGAATTTACAAATATTTGACAGCATGCTCACTTAACAGGTCACCCAAGATTGAAGACCATTGTTATTCTTTAACTGTGCTAAAGGGCCTTTGCCTTTAAGTGCCATTAGAAGAGTCCTTGCCTGGCATGCAGAGACCTTTCATTACGTTCCTAGCACAAGTAAACTAGATTTAGTAAAGCATTAAGTGGTAGTAACAAGATTAGTTCATGGTCATAGGTTGCATGGTGAGTTTGAGGCTAGCCCTGTCTTAAAAAGAAGGAAAAAAGCTGGGTGGTGGTGGCACACGCCTTTAATCCCAGCACTTGGGAGGCAGAGGCAGGTGGATTTCTGAGTTCGAGGCCAGCCTGGTCTACAGAGTGAGTTCCAGGACAGCCAGGGCTATACAGAGAAACCCTGTCTCGAAAAACCAAAAAAAAGAAGGGGGAAAAAAAGGAATATTTAGTCAAGTTGGGGTAGCTTCTCTTGTAGACTGCATCCAGAACTCCAGCTCAGAGATGTCGTTCAGACAGATCCTTTAGCACCTTTCTAACCAATTCTTGAGTGTTTGCAGCCCTTACCTGTGTCTGAATGTCTTGCAAGGGAGAGTTTACCCCTTTCCTCCTCCCAGGGTTTGGAATATGACAGGGCATAAAAGATGGATACTTCCTTCTCACAGTTCCCACACTTGGTCTGGACTGACCAGAGGCTCCCTTTAGCAGCCAGACTCAGGTCTCAGGCAGCTCAGTTTAGGGGTAGGGTTCCAGCAGGAAAGCAAGAGTTGAAGTCTGGAACAGAAAAGGAGAATGAAGAGCTGGCTCTGAGGTACCACTCAATATTCTGTAGTGAAGGACAAGGTATATAGGCTAAGGCCCTAAGCAAGCAGACGTCCTCTTCAAGCAAGTCAGAAAGGCCTAATTTACAGTCACTGAGTTCAGACAGCCCTGCTCAGGGTCCAAGATTTAGTGTATATTCCATTATCCATGAGGTAAAGGGCACTTAGCAGTTAAGTAGTGACAGAGAACAAGAGTGCTCCTACTGCTTGTTTCTTTTTAAAAATAGATTCAGGGGCTGGAGAAGCAGCTTAAGTCCTTAAGAGCACTGGTTGCTTTTCAGAGGACTTGGGTTCAATTCCCATCACCCACAAGATAGCTTACAACAGTCTGTAACTCCCAATTCCAGAGATCCTATGCCCTATTCCTGGCTACTGTTTGTAGGCAAGTAGTGTACAGACATACATGCAGGCAAAATACCCATACACAAAATAAAAGTTTAAGAAAAAAATATGTATGATATGCTATTTGGATGGACTATGGCTATGGAATCATTGCTTCAACTCCAAAGTTAGTCTGAAATCTTAATAATTCATTAGTCAGTTTTCTTTATTCATTAGTTTGCATATTTGGGTTCGATTTTGGTTTATTTCACTGCTTAGGTGCCTGCTTTGAAACACCACCTCCTGCTTTTCAATTTCATTTTTCTTTCCTCACTGTTTTTTCCCCTAACTCCATTTTTGTTGGTTTGTTAAAAAGGTTTGTCCAGAGGGGTTGCCTTTATCCGGTTTGACAAACGGTCGGAAGCAGAAGAGGCAATTACCAGTTTCAATGGTCATAAACCCCCAGGTTCCTCCGAGCCCATCACAGTGAAGTTTGCAGCCAATCCCAACCAGAACAAAAACATGGCTCTCCTCTCGCAGCTGTACCACTCGCCTGCTAGGCGATTTGGAGGCCCTGTGCACCACCAGGCACAGAGATTCAGGTGGGTCCAGAGGTTGATATCCTAGTGGGCTGTTCTTAAGTGTGCCGTGCTCTTTCAAGCTACATGTAGCCTTCTATTTTAAGGGGTGTGTGCTCAGAGGAGAAAATACTGGGGAAACTAGGCTGATCCAAGCAAAGTCATATCTTTCTAATTTTGTCATCACCTCTATTAGAAATCTGTCTATGCACTGGGCATGGTGATTCACACCTGCAGTTCCATCTCTGGAGAGACATAGGCAAAAGGATCAAGAACTGAAGACTATCTTTGACTAGAAAGCAAGCAGAACCTTGTCTCAAGGGAAAGCAAAAGGTCTTGTGGTAGCCCCTCGAATCAGGCAGGGGTTCGGGAATGGGTTCCAGGACCTCTGTAGGCACCAAATGTAGAGTTGCTCAGCTCTCCTGTAAGATCCTTGCTCATCACCTACAGATACCCTCCTGTAGACTGGATGATTGCTGATACCTAATGCAGTCTTAAGTGCTGTGATGTGTTAAGACTGTACACAGACATCATGGACTCTTTTTTTTCCCAGGTAAATTCAGATTGTGATAGGTCATATCTACAGATAGTCCATGGCTAAAGGGGAGCAGTCCCATATCCTGAGGCATCGTTGTCTTTCTCTTGGATTGAGAAGGTGCCACCAACTTCACTGGCTGCTAATAGTGTTCTAGTGTGTGGTTCCAATAATATGGAAATATAGTTCAGGAAGAATTGCAATCCTTTGGCCCTGGACAAATGGCTCAGCAGTTAAGAGCACAGCTTCTCTTCTACTGGATGTGGCTTTAATTCTCAGCACCCACATGTTGCATCACAACCATCTGTAACTTCAGTCCCAGGAAGGCCAGTGACCTCTTTTGGTTCATGAGGGCACCAGACACACATATGTTATATAGACATACATGCAGAGAAGACACCCATGCACATAAAAATAGATAGATCTATATTTTTTTAAATTATGTTAAACAAAATCTTTTGTATCTGAGAAAAGATGGGAGACAGCATGTGCTTAGGTAATAATCTGTTTGTAAATAAGTTTCCTACATTTGATCAGTGATTCTGAAGCAAGCTTTTATCATAAAACTTCCTTGTCTAGTTTCTCTTTCTCTTTTACATGGTGTCTAATATACTGCAGAGTGGTCCAGAGCTCACTGTGTAGCTTATGGGTAAGAGTGGCCTAGAGCTGGGCCTGGTGGTGCACACCTTTAGTACCAGTCAGATCTCTGAGTTCAAGGCCAGCCTGGTCTTGAGAGTTCCAGGACTCCTAGGGATTCATCGAGAAACCCAAAAAACAAACAAAAAAATAAATTAATACAGAAAGAATGTCCTTCAACTTCTGAACCTTCTGCTTCCGCCTTCCAAATGCAAACAGGTCTGCCACTACTATACCCAGTTTGTGTTGTGCTGGGGATGGAGCTTGGTGCTTCATAACTGCTAGTTGTGCACTCTACCAGACTATATCACAAGCTACTTACTTGGTCATATTTATAGCTGAGTGTTAGATGTCTGCTGCTTAAAGGCCCTGACCCAAAGAAGAACTGCTTTCCTCAATTCCATTGTCTCCATATTGAAAATGATGTTAGTTGCCAGACTCATCTAGAACAAAAACAGATCACTAACATAGATGCAGGATGGGGGTATTACTGCCTTGGGTGCAATGGAAATCTAAATTTAGGTGCCATGTTCTTTGATTTTTGTCAGGGTTTGCCTTAGGTGGATAACAACTTCTTCTTCAGAATTCCCATCTTTGTTTTAAGCAGCAGATCCTGCCATTTCCACATAAACTGTCTTGGAGGTTATTTTCACAATGTATCCTTGTAGAGTTCTCAGCCTGGCTCTGCTTCCAAAGCTGACCTGCCTCAACCCCCTGTTCTGAAGACAGACTGGGGAGCCATGTGGAAAGAATCAGGCCATTCCAGAAGTCTGAAGATGCTGGAGCATTCCCAACTAAGTAGGCAGACAGTTTTATGAGGGAGCTGCTCAGGAACAAGACCAGGGGATGCTAGAGGGAAAGAAAAGGGTTTGTGTCACAGTCAAGAGGAACAGGAAGAAAGGAAACAGGAGTAGAATAACAGAGGCCAGATGGAAATAGCAGTAAGGGAAGGAAGGTTAAGTAAGGAATTAGGAGGAGGTGGCAGAGATAAGGAAAGAAAGAAAGACAGGCTCGGATGGGCAGAAAGCAGGTAGTCTAGTTCCCCACTGCTCCAGAAAGACACCTAAGTCAGGACAAGAGCTTTCTCCATCAGAGATGATGAAGAGGATCTTAAATGAGAATGGGGAAGGTGCATATTTGTGATTATCTGAGTCAACGAACTCAGCTCTCAAGTTTCAAGAAGTCCTGCCAACAGAACATTTCCTATGAATGAAGAGTGTTGCTAGGCTAGAGATGTGTGTCTGTAATTGCAGCACTGGAAAGACTGAAGCAGGAGAACCTTTAAGAGAGTAAAATAATATCCTAGATGTTTTTAATGAACAGTCATCTATGCTGTCCATTAGGGGGTTGGTTCTAGAACACCCCTTCAAACCCCTGCCTCACATTCCAGAATCATCCAATGCCCAAGTCTAAATTATAAAATGTTTGCACTGATCTCATACACATCTTCTCTTCAGCTTATTTCTAGATCGCCACATGATTTATGCCTAATATGCTGTGATTACCATGGAAACAGATAATATACTGTACTGCTCAAGGAATAGTGACCCCAAAAGTCTGTATATGGTTAATGCAAGTAGAAAATTGTGGGATTTTTTGCAAGGAAGGGTTTATTTATTTATAAATATCTTACTTGATAAAAAGTTGTGTCAGTTCCAGATATGTTTGCTGAAGACATCATTTGGTTGAAAGAGTGCTTACCTAGCATATATGAAACTCTGGGTCCCATTCCTAGCACCACAGAACCTAGGTGTGTTAGTACACACTTGTCATTCTATTATTTGGAAGGTAGAGACAAGAGGACCAGAAGTTGAAGGTTATTCTCAGTTACATATGGAGTCCAGTTATACCTTACCTTAAAAAAAAAACAAAAAAAAAAAACAAAAAAAAAAACAGTGTGCTAGCATATGTACACTTAGTCCCAATACTCAGAGACAAAGACAGGTGAATCTCTGAGTTTGAATATTGGGTTCCAGGCCAGCTAAAACTACAATATAGTGATACCCTGTCTCTAAAATCAACAGCATGGGGACTGGAGAGATGGTTCCATGGTTAAGAAGACTCACTGCTCTTCCAAAGGTCCCGAGTTCAATTCCCAGCACCTACACAGCAGCTGACAACTGTCTGATGCTGTATTCTGATGCTCAGAGTATGTGCAGACAACATACCCATATATATATAATACATATATGAATAAATCTTTAAAAACAGAAGAAAAGAAAAAAATCAACAATAAAATGAAATACAAATGGAGAGCCTACAGATCTATCTGTGCCTAGGCCTACTGTAGTTGCTGTATAAAAATGTAGGTGACTTGGAACTGCAGGCAGCAAGCACCTTTCTAGTTCTCATTGAAAATGAGCTCAGCTTAATATCTTACAGACAGCTGGGTGCCAACCTACCACCCACATCAACAATATTCTAGTCTTTCTTACTCAGACTGCCTCTGGACCACAGGCCATCTTGACACTGTGACATCCTGCTACTGGCTATTGAAACCAGTTTTTACAGTTTTTTTTAAACCAAGGAAAGTACTATATCTTGGTTCTTTTTTACCACATTGAAACTAGCCCTGAAGCCTTCTTTATCATATTGAAAGTGAAGTCTCATGAGGCCCTACAGCCCAGAGTCTGCTATCATTTGGAGCAAGTAACAGACTCTGGTTGTACTGGTCAGTTCCACAGATGCCTTTTTTTCTCCTAAGACACCAACAGAGCTTCACTATCACGTTTACTCATCTCCTCATTCTACTATTACCACCATGTGATTTCAACCACATTCTGTTGAATTTATAGTTCACTCTGGCCAGGCATGGTGTACACACCTGTTGTCTTAGCACTCCAGAAGCAGAGACAGGAGGATCATGAATCCTAAGCCAGCATGAACTGTAGACTGAGGTGCCTGTGGTCCAAAAGAAAGAAAAATAGAGAGTATGAGGGAGAGACAAGAAGAAGTGTTTGGTGAGGGGGTTGGGGGGGACACTGTGGGAAAAACTCTAGTGTTGATTAAGTTGCTAATAGTCCTTTGGCCTTGTTCCTGTCTCCTGAGTTTATAGGCTTCGGTAGCCTGACCTGGCCCTTGTGAGATGGTTTTAGCCAGCCCAGAGCTAGGGAGAAGGAATTCTTGTGCTCTGTAGTAACTGTGTACAGCAGTGTACAGTTACTGCAGGGCTTTGACCCTCAGGGAGAAGTGAAACAGTGAAAAGCTAAAGCAGGAAGAGCTGTTGCAAGCTTTAAGTCCAGCACTTAGGAGGCAGAGGCAGATCTCTGAGTTCAAGGCCAGCCTGGTCTGTAGAATGAGTTATATCACAGCTCGAGCCAAACAGGGAAAAACGAAGAAAAAAGAAAAAGGAGGGACTCAATTTGGGCGAAAACTCCCTCTTTCCCCTACATGGATTCATGTATACACATGCTCACGCACAAAATGCGGTGAGCTTCCCTCAAGGAAAATGACAATGAGTTAATCCCTTGGAGTATTTTCACCTGTACTGGAACATATGGAAGAAACTTCCAGAATTTAAAATGTAAGTTGTGGGGTTGAGCTTGTGGCTCAGCACCAGGCCTCAGTTTCTTCCCTGGCCTCACAATTTGGGAAACAGACAGGGTCTGAGGGAAGGTGGGACAAGAAGATAATAAAGGTGAAAATTACCAAAGTACATTATATATGTTATGAAGATGTCACAATAAACATTATTTTTTAAGTTAGTTGACCCAAATGGTACCCCAGCCTTAAGCATCTCTAGCTCAGAGGTGCTGGCTGTGTAAGAGGCCCAAGTGTTCTTACATCACTGTACCAGAGCCATCGTCTTGGCCCTGCCCATCCTACTTCTTCCCACCCCACCCCCCATTGTGCAGGAACACCACTGGCCTTAACCTTGACCTGAACATGTGCTCTCTGTTTGCTAGGTTCTCCCCTATGGGTGTAGATCACATGAGTGGGATTTCTGGTGTCAATGTCCCCGGCAATGCTTCCTCGGGCTGGTGCATCTTCATCTACAACCTTGGGCAAGACGCCGATGAGGGGATCCTCTGGCAGATGTTTGGCCCCTTTGGTGCAGTTACCAATGTGAAAGTGATTCGTGATTTCAACACCAACAAGTGCAAAGGGTTTGGTTTTGTGACCATGACAAACTATGAAGAAGCTGCAATGGCCATAGCAAGTCTGAACGGCTACCGCCTGGGGGACAAAATTTTACAGGTTTCCTTCAAAACCAACAAGTCCCACAAATAACTCGCTCATGCTTTTTTTCTTTCTTTCTTTTTTCCTTTTCTTTTTCTTTTTTTGTACGGAATAGATAATTAAGAGTGAAGAAGTTGAAACTTTTTTGTTAGTGTACAACTCATTTTGCGCCAATTTTCACAAGTGTTTGTCTTAGTCTAAATGAGAAGTGCAAAGGTTTTTATACTCTGGGATGCAACCAACATGTTCAAATGCTTGAAATCCCACAAATGTTAGACCAATTTTAAGTTTCTTAAGTTATTTCCTTTAAAGTATCTATTAAACTGAAACCTAAGTAGACTGCGTTGACTAACCAGTCACTCTGGATGGTGGTGGAACTGAAGCATGCTCTTACTTCTAAGACTGTCTAACACCTGTTTCATTTGATGTCTCCACAGACTGGATTTAAAACAAAACACACAACTAGAAACCTTTTTTTTTTTTTAATTTTTTTTTTTTAATTTCTTAGTTTTAGTTTTTAACCTAAAGATGTTAGACAGATGGGGAGTGTGTTTTTTCTCAACTACTTCACCATTTTAAGCAATTTCTGCTTTAGTTGACAGGAAATTTGCCCTCCCCGGCATCCCACTGCTGCCCTGCCCACGCAGTCCCAGTTGGATGATGTCGGGAACAGCAGCAGGGCCCATGTTCTGGGGCTCCCACAAGGGGAGGCGGAAGGAGGTTCCACATGTTGGGCTGAGCCAGGCCGTCCAGAGACACAAAGGTGTTTTGTAAGCCCAGGCACCAATGAGAACGGACCAAAGAGTTTCAGGGCAGCTCCAGTATATTCCAGAGTCAAACCTGAGCTCCAGGCATGCCTGAAGATGCCCCACTCCTCTGACATCCTGAGTGTCTGTCCACACATTGCATGCATGGTGCCCACACATCAGATACTGTTGTTCATGCAACTTCCCGAGTTTCCAAGACCATTTAACCTAGCTTGAATGCACTACGGTTGCTCTGTTTTTAATGACACAGAAACATTTGAGCATTGTAATTCTCGCATCCCTTCTTGTGAGCACTAGACTTTTTCCAATCTTAGTCAGATTTTTGCTTTGAAATTTTGCTTTTGTATGGACACTCAGCAGAAAAGTACTTCTTGCCAGTTATCTATTAACAAAAACCTTTGATTTGTAGTTTTAAGGATTAACCCTCAAAGTTCTCTTCATAACTGCCTTGACGTTTGGGGTTCTGTTCTGTTAATTTTCTTTTGCTTTTTTGTGTTTTTTGTTTGTTTTTACTTTTGCATTTAAGACCATTAAATTTGATTTTGTTTTGCTCGAGTTTTGTTTTGTTTTTTGTTTTACCTTTTCTTTCTTTTTTGGCTAGGGAAGGGCACAGACAGCCCAGCATTCAGGGAGGAGTCTGTCAGACCTTAAACACTTGCCTCAAGTTTAAAAAGCATTTCTGGAGCTATGGTGTAAGAAATACAACTATGGATCAATGGTTCTTAACTCGGGAGCTAGTAGGAAAGGTCAGAGGGAAGGTCTTCAGAGCAGGTGAGGCCTGACCCCTACAGCCCTTAGGACTGCTCTGATTTTTATTAGTTTGTGGAGAGAATGAGAACAGGCTAGTGCAGTTACTGGCAGCTCTTCACTTTAATGTGAGCCTGGAGTGTATAACAGCAGGCTAGTATTTAGTTCTTGATATCATGGTATGATAGCATTATTTATATATTTGTTTACTTATATATATAGCTATTTTGTTTCATTCACTTAAGTGGAAAACTGAGCAAAAAGCACAGCCATCTCTAAAGCAGGTCAGTGTGTCAATAAGCCCTTGTACAATTTGAGGCTGCCTGTTCCCTCCCCCTGCCTCCTTTTCCTGATTTCCCTGGAGGGGCTCTTTGCAGTGTTCTCTGCCATTGATGAGGTCGCCTCATGTACTTAGGCTTTGTCCCACCCTAAGTGAGCCAAGTGCTGCTCAGTACCTCACTCCATCCCATAATTCCCAGCCTGTAGGACCTGAAACCCCAGAAGTAAAGGCTCATATACCCGAATCTGACCAAAAAGGGAGAGTGGGTTCCCTGCTCTGAGGGTGCAGAGTGCTCTTCCCTGTGGGACCAGAATGTTCTGTTAAAATAGGCATTTCCAGTTTCTTAGGCCAACATTCTTCTAAGTGAAGGTGGGATTTCTCATCCAACCTTTTCCTGGTTTCTCCTCATTCCTGCAGCTTTAGTATTCCACACCTGAAAGGGACTGTGTCTTTAAAGCACTTGGTGCTCAGAGCCAGCACCTCAATCACTATAACATCCCCACCACCCAAACACCTGTTTAGTCCATAGTAACTCTGAGAGGAAACAGGGAAATCTCACCAGCTACTAGAGGTCACTTCAAGTTCATTGAAATTCTTTCTGTGTGGTCTCCACTGTCTGGGCAGCATTCTAGATAAAAGTCCTAGTCCATTTCTTGATGAGCTTTCTTTGTCTAGAAGAAATTAGCTTTGAAAAGGTATTCCTGAAAGCAATTTTGATTCTTTGAAAGGACTAGGTGCTGGACCTGGGCTTGTTCATGACAGCTTGTCAGGCTTGTTGAGAGGGCACATTCCAGAATCCAGACGTGACTGTAGCTCAGAGATTAAAGCACTTGCCAAGCATGAGGGAATCCCTGAGTTCCATCCCCAGCATTGGAGAAAAAATCACAACCCAATAGAAAGATTTGTTTTGTTTTTTAAGCAGAAATTCATCCTGTTTTTATTGAGCAAGTTAAGGGCATTTCTTATGTTGGGAAATCTGATGGAAAAAATATACAGAGTAGGTAATGTTCATTCATCAGAAATATGGTTTGGCCAATACCAAAGAGGCTTTGATTGAGTTCTCTTGACCTCCTCTGGTAGTGGGTTATTTGTTGAGTCACCTCCAGGTTCTTCCGCCTACTTCTGGTTGGGTTATCTGTTTCTTTCCGGAGTGATTCTCTCCCCCAGTTGAAACTTTTCTAAGTAATGTGCCAAGCCATCCTGGCTGTGCCTCTCGTCACAGTACTGTGACTCTATCCCCCTTTTCCCCATACTCTCTGATCAGCTACCATCTCCCTTGACTACCTGAGAACCAGACTTCCCTTGGAGGGTGGGATGAGATGCTACTGTACTGAATGGGTTCTGTCTCCCCTGAAGTTGCCTTATCCTTTTAGTGGCCGTAAGTAGTTAAGGAACTCCTCCTACACAGCTTCAGACTGGACCTCCTGGTATAAGGAGTCTCTCATAAGTAACTGGAGTCTCTCAACTGGCATTTAAGGAGAACCCTGCTGGGTCAGAGAAATAAATGAGCCTCTAAGACAATGGCAGTTACCTATCTGGGGTTGTCTCCAAATAATAGCCATTTGTCTGTAAAGTAATGTGTTGAAAGGATGTGACCTACTCCAGTCAGGTGTTAGATTTGGAAATGAAAGTTGAAATAACTCAGCTCTTCCAGTTAGCATGTTTCAGCAAGATTTTTACAAACTCTTGATGCTTTTATCTCTTGATGCCAGCTTTTCTATCTTGGGTGAAAGAATATGAGTATGCTGAAAAGGCCTCTGCCTCCTCCATCCCCAACACCTTATCCCTTCCCGTCTTTCCAGGAACTACCTCACCTCCTGGGACCTGAGGTAGTTCCTGGGGAGGGACCCCTGGGGTTCATCACACTCAAGGGGTCAGGAATCCTGTTTCCAAACTTTCTTAGAGTACCCCAAAGTCATGAATGCTTACTGTTAAGTGTGGCATTGATGATTTGACACATTCTTAGGGGAGCAACAGAGCATGCATTTCCATCCTAAATAAGGACCCTCCCACCCCTACCCTTGACCTTTAATAATGATTGTATTACATTTTCCCATAACCTTTTGCTGATGTGGTTCAATTTCTTTTTCTCAGTCATGAAAATTATTTATTTATTTATTTATTTATTTATTTATTACTTGTGAGTCACCAGCTGCCAAGTATTTGCATTAGGCTGGTGGAGACTTTGAGAGGACTGTGCTTTTTTGTTCCCCTCCCCCAGAAAAGAAGGCTGGTTGGTTGGTTTGGACCACCTCTCTTCCCACATGCTGTTTCCCTCACAATGGCTTACTTTGGGGGAGGGGAGGGCTTCTACCATCTGATTCCCATGTTGTACACTAGATGGCTAGACATTTTTGTATATTAGTGTGTTTTAAGTTATTGATTTGTTTTATATGAAATAATTTATTTTTCAGGTACCATTTTTTTTTTCATTTTAACTTTGTTTTTACATGGGTTTGTTTTCAATAAAGTCTGACATTGCTGTCCAAAGTCAACAATAAAGTGAATCCCATTGTGTTCTTTTGAGGATGTTTATGTAACTAGCCTTTAAAAGTAATTTTCAGAAAAAGAAAGGTGGGGAACAAAAACCCTTACCTGTTTTCCTTCTCCCATTGCCTTTTTCCCCACTACTTTAAATCCTTGTGAATAAATGTTCTTCAGTGTTTTAGGAAGAAAAAAGCAAACCTAGATTTTGATAATCCAGAAGATTTCAGATTAATGAAGCTTTGAAAGAACCATTTTTCGAAATTTCAGTGACGTGTGAATATTTTTTGTCAATGGCTTTCTCAAAGAGAATGAAACTTTTGCACCATTTTCAGAGTTTTTATAGAGATGCCAAATTGATATATTTACATGTAATGGAAACATAAAAAAGTTTTATTAAACAATTGTTCATAGCTGTGTAGACATTTTAATTCAGCTTCCAAAACTCTTCAAAGTCGTATTTTGAAGATACGGGGTGTTAACTGACAATTCCAAACCAGTCAGTTGTCTGAATACTCAGTTCCTTCCGCAGGTGTCAGGTTTGTGTTAAACGTTCTGTTACCGCTGACTGGAATTCTGTGATATTTTGGTAATAAATGAAGTGGGATCGTTGAGATGTGATGGTGTAGGGGTGATCATCTGTGTCAACATTCCAAAGCCGGATAAAGTACCAGGTGACTTCTTCCCTCAGTGTGCCAGGACCTGGCCGCAGCCTTGACCTAGCCCATGGACAGCCCAGGTATGCTGTGTATCTGTCTCCCTCAAGACTCTCCTATTTCTATCCAGATTTTCTTCCTCATGGAGGAGCTCCAGAGCCTTGAATGGTGGACACCTTCCCCTTATCCTCAGGTTGGATTATAACATGGCCACATTTGAGCCACGGGGATGGAATGGGACTGTTTTAAGTATAACTGTCCATCTTACTGTGTAATTAGGAACACAGAAACTCATGTGGACTGGGAATATAATACTTTGGATAGAGTGTCTGTCTAGAATGCACTAAGTAAGCCCTGACCTCCATGCCCCAGTGCCACAGAAAACAAGCCTGGTAGTGTGTGCTTGTAATCCAAATGCTTGAGAGGAGGGACAGAGACACCTGTAGTATAGTCAAAGTCAGCAGCCTTGACTATGTAGCAAGTTTGAGATCAGCTTGGGATACAAAAGAACTTATTACCTCCAATCCCTCCAAAAAAGGGGGTTAGGAGTGCTCCCAGGAGATAAGGATCTGGGTCTGGAAAGCAGACTGTAGCTTGGAGACCTGGGAGGAAAACTTAGAAAAGCTTGTTAAAGGCCATCCTAGTTGAACAAACTTGGGACAAGAATGGGGGTGGGGGTGGAAAATTAGTTTGGTAGAATATACACCTTGTTAAGGCGAGCCTTTTGGAGAGGGGCCTTATGATTCAACAGAGTGAACGGCACACCCTCAGTCCTGGCCAATTGGTTGGCTATAGACAAGTGTAGAGAAAGGCTGGGAAATGCCACCAAGGGACTAGCCTTTAGACAGGCTACGGGCTTATTATCACATATACAAGGGACTGTCTGATTAAACAGGATGCATGGGATCAAAGAAAATACCAGGCCATCTGAGAAAGTACTTCAATGACCCAAAACTATAGAAGAATCTACTGCCACAAGTTGTCCTCTGAAAGACAAGTGTGCATGATCATACCCAAATTGAATTTAAAAATTGAACTTCAAGTGGCTTTCAGCCAGGCATAGTGACATGTGCCATTAATCCTAGCATTTAGGAGGCAGAGACAAGCAATCTCCCATAAGCCAGGCATGGTTCCAGGCACCCTGGGATACATAGACCATCTCACAAAAAGGGAATAGGAGATTTGTGAGTTAAGGCTAGTCCTGCTTAACTCTGGTTGAGGTCAGGCAGGGCTACATAGCAAAACTTTGGCTCCATAATAAGAACCCCTACTCTGAGATACAGATGGTAGCTTCTCAGCAACTTTGGGTTCTGGTTAGTCAAGTGAAGAAGTATACTCGAGGAAATACATGTGCTGCCCTTTAGGCAAGAAGGAACCATAAGCCATCA